AATTATTTCATTTATGAAATGAAATATGAATTTTCTGTCTATTTTTCAAATTGTATCTTTAATATTGACGCAAATTCAATTTACATGTATTTATTCAAAACAACATAGTCGTCTATTAGTAATTTTCATTTATTGTACATGTGCACATGTAACGGACAGAAAAAAACACCACAATGCAAGCAATACAATCAAGCAGAAAAAACAAATATAAATCGTTATGATGAAAAGGAAAAGAAAAAAAATATCTCTATACAAATCATTTAACAGACAATATTGATTGGCAATGACAAGTCATTTTGTTATACTTACACTAGTTTTTTTTTTTCATCGTTCAATTAATTGATGATGCTATCAAAAAAATAATGTGTTAATTATCACTAATATTTCTTTCGATCAATTATATGATTGGAAAATATTTTATGTTTATATTGCTCACGTTCGTCCCTCATATTTCGACAACCATGACATTCATTTTCAATACTATTCATTATTAACTGATATGATCAAATCGTTAAACTGAATCAGATTTATTTGGATTTATTTTCTTGTCATTGATAATGATATTAATTATATAAAGGAAAAATATACATCATTTCCTCGGAAGTCAATACTGGTAGATAGGTATAAAAATAAATTGTTAGACTACTATCGTTTTCATTGATATAGTATACTGAATAATTGCGAACAACAGGTTCCTTACATAATAGTCGACATCTTTTGATTTATTACACGATGTATATATGTTGCTTGCGTCCTAAGCAGACCAATGGGCCAACTACAATCCTGTGTTTGTTATTATTCAGTATTAGTCCGCTGATTTGAAAGTCGAACCAGGGTTAGCGTGACTACTTTTAACATGCAAAGTTTCCAATTTCGCCTAGCAGAGTTGAGCAAAATTTATCTCATTCTACCCATTTTGTATGACGATCTACGCATCATAATCGATCAATATACTTCTTCTATGTTCATTCAGTTGCATGTAATTCTGCTCAAGAACATGATAAAACGTTGATCCTTTCTTTTTTTTTTCAAAAGATACGCCGTTGATTGTTCTATTCAAATCACAAGATCAAATCTTTATAACTATGTTCGAAATTTTAATAGATTGCTAACACTGAACAAGTGTATTATCAATGTTAAATAAAATGAACTGTCACAGGCACTGTAAAACAAACAAAAAATCAATACTTGGTACGAGACCTGGTGCAAATTTTTTGTCAACATATTTTCATCATTTTCAATTGAAGATGAGTAATAATCCTCATGCTTTGAAGGCCATACTAGATCTCCGATTGATTCCATACTTGATAGTCAAAAGCAATGAATAATAATTATTAAAATCAAAATTCATCAATTTTCGGCTTTTTCTTTGTAGGAAATAACACGATGATGATCATGCTCAGTATTAGCGGTCTATTAAAATTTCGAAAATAGTCCTAAAGATCTGATCTTGTGATTCGAGTAAGAACATTGAAAGGCGCATCTTTTCAAAAATAAAAAATGTCACAAAATTTTTTAGGATTTTTTTTTTCTTCATTATTATTTGTTCATTGTTTTTGTTATTAATATTTGAGTTAATCACAAGACATATTCCTTTTTTATTCATATACAAAGATATAACTAATATCAAAAACAATTTTTTTTTTACAAGGAGAAAAAAAACAATCAGGAAAATCAACAATTTATCAAATTGCTTAATTTTTATCATTTGAATTTGATGTACTACCAGTATCTTTCATTAATGTTTGAATATAATCAGTTGCTGATCGAACAACATCATAATCTGACATTCCTTTTGCATTTGAATTAGGTAATAATGAACGTAATTGATCTAATGATGATTCATATGTACTATTTGTATTTGAATTTAATGCTGATGATAATGATGGATTATTTGATGACATTGAAATAAGAATTATAACATGAATTTGATTACATGAAATAAATATCGGACTGATGTCCGTTGACCATGAATAACCAGAAGAAAATTTTAACGGGCAGGTGTGCGAAAGAAAGAAAGAAAAAAATATGTTAGTCGACTTTTTTTTCCTCATATCTATCTATCAGTTCAAGATGGACGGACAGGTCAAAATTTCTATAAGTGCACTTATATGTTTAAATCATTCATCATTTATTTTATCAATAAATGAATACAAGTAAAAAAGAAAGAGCTTTTTTTTTTTTTTTATTTTTCTTCTTTTATTTAACTTTAACAAATTTAAATTCAAGTTCATTAATTGCTACAGCTTGTTTAGTTTTTTCATCATAATCCATCCATTCCTTATTTTCGGACAAATCAATTTGACTAAATTTTGTACCAGATTCAACACCTTGACATATCCATCCATCACCTTAGAAAAAAAAATCCCAATTAATTTCATATATACATAATAAAACAAAGAGTTTTTTTTTTACCTGGTTGCCAATCAACTGGTTCAATACCACGACAATCAAATATAACAAGTGTCTTAAAAGTATGATTATCCGAATCATCACTTGTATAATTCATTGATGGTTTAACTGGTTCAATATTTAGATTGGCTTCTTGAGAACAAAATTTACATTTCATTAAAAAATTAGCTTCACCACGACTTCCAGATATACTTGATGATTGTTTTATATTAATATCATGAAATGTATCAGAATGTGTATGACATTTTGTACAATCTAATTTTAAATACCAGATAAAATCATCGAAAGATTCTATATGAAAATCTGTAACATTGTCAAGATTTGCTTTTATTTGTAATGCTATTTTAACCATCTAGAAGAAAATATTTTTTCATCGTAATTGTCATTCGTTCTTGTTGAGACATAAGATAGTAAAAAAACCAAGTTTAACAATAATGTATTTATGTTTTTTCTATAATAAAAAATGGACACGGTACTTTTATGGTCCCAAAAGACTTTGTCGGATCTTTTTTTTTAATAATATTAGTTTCAAGAGTACAAAATGAGAGATCGCTGTATTTTCTATGACCTTTCCTTAAAAAGTTAAGAGGATTACAAAAACCGTTTTTGAGACGATTTTTTGATAAATTTCTTTTTTTTTATGATGCACTTAACTTTTTAAGAGAAGGTCGTTTAAAAAACCCCAACGATTTCTCATTTTGTTCAGAATTTCATGTATGAAATATTGACATAGAATGCATAACTCCATCGGCTATTAAAATCACTATCTGAATTTGAACTTGATGTTTAACATTATAGTTATTGTTAAATTTTTTCCATCACATTATCGAATGAAAGCCTAGCAACTCCGTAGAGTAGTGTCCTGAAGTACTCAGGATCGGGGAGAGAGGTTAAACTTTTTTCGAGAATCCGTGAGTAAGCCAATAATAAAACGTTGGAGAAAAACGGAAATTTTTCAAGATTTGAAGGATCACCTACCCGCTCACAACTCCGCAAAAAAGTCGATAGCTATATATTTATACTATCCTTTATGAAATCAGTTATTTCGAAGGAACACAATTCAGTATGATTGACAGTTTTTACTTCAGATTTTTGACTAATTGGTATTCTAAATGTAAGGTCCTTACTTATTTTTCACACATAATCTTGACAAGTAGGATATCATCCGATTTTTATCATGGAAGAGTTTAATTTAATTTTTATGAAGATTACAAGAAAAAGAAATCTAGTCATTGAATGATAAATGACGAACAATTTCAAAAAAAAATATAAAGGAAGTAGAATTATATATTAATTAAACTAAAGTTTCAAAAATTAAACATGAAACTCTACTTTATATAGATTTTTAAAAAATAATTATACTATTATAATATTCAGTAACCATTTGTGTATGCCCGACCTTACATCATAAAAAATAAACAATCGAACAAAAAGTTTTTATCGTTGGTTTGACATGTTAACCAATCGTATGAAAGAGTCTCTTATCTCCCTGATGTCACTTGTGTTAAACACATCATGCAAAATCAAAGTACCTAAGGCACTTATAGTTTTGCAAAAAACTACTGTGTTTCTGTAAATAAAAGAATGAGTACTGTAAAGTAGGAAAAGCATTTTGCTTAGTTATTAACTAGTAAGGTATTTCTTGAATCTAGTCAGATGAAGATATTGAGTTACTTTACTTTCCTTTTTCTAATTCTACGGCTTGAACATCAAAAGTTTAACCTATTAATTTAGCTAACAAAATCTTAATTTCTTAATTTTTACACTAAATTATAAAATAATGATTCTGTAGAAGAAATGATTTTTACATTCATCAGCAGGAACTAAATTGAAATTAGGAATAGAAGAATTTTATAGGAACAATTCATAATAATTAATTTTTTTTAGTTGTATTCATATGTCAATCATCTCGAAAGTTCTTTTGTTTTAACCATAGAAAATTTTTTCATCTCATACAATTTCATAGCTGATTTATCATCATGTACCGCCATCATCATACTTGACGTCATGGAAGAACGCAATAGAACAGAATCATCGACAAATCTAAAATACTATTGCACTAGACAGGAAAAAAAAACAAGCATGAATAAGAACAACAAAACGTATTTATAGAGTAGTACAAAAGCTAAATTCTTATTATTTATCTTCATCTTTCTTTATATATATATATTCCTTTATTCAGACAATAATATGATTTTATTTATATTATAAACAAAATATTTTTCAGATCTTTGATTAAACGTACAATGTCATCGAATGAACAAAATTTTAATTTGAATAGCCAAGCTGGTTCTATTGGTCAAGCAGGTGGAGCATTTAGTGAACGAGGTCGTGCAGCTGAAAATGCTTATTTTCATGCACAAGAAGCTGAACAATTAGCTGCCTTAAAACAACAACTCGAACAACAACAACAACAACAACAAGATCAATCGAAATAATGAATATAAATTATA